TGATGCCGAGATACACACGGACTGCATGTCAATGCCCTACCCTAATCTTATTTCCTACCTCGAGTGTGGCCTAATACATGGTCGATAGGGTCGTAAAAATACCCAAACCTCTTTCGCGCCGCTTTTTTCTTCTTTTTTGGGGGGGCGGGGTTTTCTTAGAATGCTCTCTTTCTCATCGTTTTTACGCTCCATTTTTCTCCTCTGTCCTGTTTTCGTTTGTATAAATTCTTTTTGATTATTATTTCTTTCTTTTTGTCTTTCAAAGGTTTTTTTTTTTTGGTCCCAGCATGAATAATAGTGATCAAGGATCTCAGTTTTGTGGCGCGCCCCCCCCCCTTTCCTCTTTTTAAAAATGTACTGCTCATGTTGGAATGTTTCCCTATCTGCATGGTGTTCTTGACTTTTGGGCCAAGCCCTCTAAGTGGCATACATTATGGGTATTAGACTGCGACCGTTTCCGTGTTATTATTACAGACCCTCAATACAGTTGTCTTTATCAGTTGATTTCTTTTTTCCCCTCTTCTTTTTATTGCGGTTGGTTGGAGGGACGCCACTTGACTTCTGTCTTTTTTCTGTAGGCCATTTTGGGCAACACTAAATTACCATTATTATGCTAATATGGTTTTTCTTTTCTCAACTGAACCGAGTGATTTTTATTGACCAAAGTACTATTTAATAAAACGCACATAAAGTTTCCCCCTCTCATTGTCCTGGAATATGTGCATTTGTAACTTGTGTATTCTGTATTAAATTCATGTATTTAATGTCCTATTTACTGGAAAACTATTTGTTTCATGCTGCTTCAACGCGAATTATTTGAGTCTTTCAAGCCCAATGAATGCGTTGTTCGATGGCTACGCTTTTTATAGTACGGTCTAAAATTCATGGCGCAACTTATTGTCAAATGTTTCCTTAAATATCGAACATTGACTCTCCAATTTTTGCACATGACTTGTATCAATTTGTCTAACAGAATAATATTTTGTAAAATCCTGTTACCTGTATTCTAGAAAATTTCATAACAAAATACTAATAAAGAGTCCAAGTGGGTGGTTACTACAGATTTTGAAAGGTTTACATCTGGAGTAATAATATTGCTTTTAAAAGCAAATATTTATTGAACGCATGTTTTGAGAATATTTAGTGCGAAAGAGGTGTTTACTGTATAGTCAATTTCTTATAACAAGTTTTGCCACTAAAAAAAATGTCATTGGTATGACATTAGTATACATGTGTGTGAAAAGTGGGGAGTGCTGTGAATAATCACATTTTCCGAGTGGCGGAGATTCATAGTACAATGTATTTTATATAAATTTATGAAGAACGAATATTTTAATCTAGCCTCAATTTTGTAGAAAAATATAAATAAGTTAAAACAAATTGATGCAAACTGCTGTGCAAAGTGATCACCCTTTAAAAAGATATTTGAAGATCAGTTGTGCCACGAATTTTTGACCACGCTATAGTTGTGTTTCCTCCCGCTCGGGGTATTATTCGTGTTGTTTTCTATTCCCCCTGTGAAGTCGTTCGAAAGTGGCGTGACGTTTTGTTTCTTTTCTCTACTCTTACAGAAAGACTCAGACGCAAAAACAGCATCAGAAGGACCCGAGGCCAAAAAGGCCCGTCATGACGACACTTCCGCTGGTCTGGGAAAACCCCACTTCCGTGGCCCAGAGGCAGGAAACGGTGGTAGGAACAGGAGCCGGGATGGACGTGCTGAGGACAGCGACGGTGATGGCCTTGGTAGGGCCAGGGAGTCCTGCGTGGAGGTCTCGGGTGTCACGGAGCGCAGAGACCGTACAAGTGAGCTGGGCTCTGAAGTTTGTGGTAGCGGCTTGTTACCAGGTGGCCCAGCTTCGTCTTCGTCTCCGTCCCTTATTTCTAGAAACGATTGTTATTCTACCCCTGCTCGAAATTTGTCGCCTGATTGCCCAGCGTCTGTTACCGCCCAGCCGTACTTCCAGGTCACAGGCATGAGCGGGTCCTCTGAAAATAATCACAGCGAACAGCAGCAAAACGTAAGAGGTTCCCATGATCCCCACTTACCACTCACCTGCAAGGATGTTCCCGGCACGTCTCCGCTCCCTGGTTCAGTAGTAGTACCGTCATCGCTGTCGTCTGCTGCGTTCACATCTCAAGGGAGTTCTCGTTGTACGCCCTCGGTGTCTACAGCAGCCAAAGCGGAGTCGGCGACACGGCTAGCTGCTGCATCAGAAGTGGTGGGCGTTCCGGATCCCGCCGCCGACGGATCGAGTCACTCTTCATCTTCCCATGGAGTAAATTCTTCTTCTTCTGTTTGTGTTGTGAATTCTGAAATATCTGGATTATCGTCGATGGATGATTCCTCGCCGCCGAGAAGTACGTGCCATCCCCACGGAGTAACGCCACCACCGACGGAATATATTACCGAATCGCGTTCAAACCCTAGTGCCCCTACGACTGAGCCTGCTGGGGCTACCGAGGGGTCAAGCCCCGGTGACCCAGTAGGGATTGAAAAAGAGGGCGCGCAGGGTTCGAACACGGACCTCCTAGCTGGGCTCTCAGCTCTAGGTGGTCGGCGAGATCCCGCGGCGTTGTTGCGTCGTCTGCATGAGCTGAGCCCCGGCCAGCTGTACTGGTGCTTGGGCCAGGTGGACCCCGACACGGCCCGCGCACAGCACCCGAACAACACCAGGAAGATCATCAGGTACTCCATGGACATTTGTAGTGTCCTTGTGTCTTTATATTACCTTTTGTTTTTAGAAGGTTTTTCGTTTATGGGGCATAAAGGGGCATGATGGGGGCCATGAACAGAATTTTAGTTCATTGATTAGGAGGCGGGCTGCTTCAACAGTCTGTCAGGTGGTTCCGATTTTTAAAAATAAATTTTAAATTTCGGGTACACCAACCCTTTGCCAACCTTCCCGGTGTATAAAGGGAGAAAAACTACCGGGCCCAGACAATCTACACCACTATGTCACGTGCAGATCTATGTCGAACGTTAACACCCTTTTTGCATTAAGCCCTTGTTGTCGCTGAATGCTACTTTTCCCCTATAAAAACATTAGACTTTAGAAGTGCTGAAAGCCAGGAGTAAACAAACATAAGGTTGACAAGGTGTTATAAAATTCCTGCCCTATTTTT